TTTTGATAAAGGCCTAAATAAAAACAGTTTGCCTGTCAATATTTATCATTCTGTGCTTGAAGAGGAAGTGAAAGACCCATTTAATGAATTTAACCAGTGATTGTTGGTCCATAAACCTGTGTCTGTATATCTCATAACTGTCATCAATAGTTTAAATGACATATAGTAATTGTAAGTATGATATATAGACACAGTTTTATGGAACAACAATCACTGGTTACAGGTTTTTTACCCTACAGAATGATGAAAATTGATAGCAGTTTGAAACTGTAACCAGTGATTGTCAGTCCATAAAGGTGTGTTTTTGTCTCATTATCTCATCTATCATTGGAACAAATTAGGACAGTTAATCACTTCCGGGATAGTTAGTATTTAGACACAGGTTTATTGAACAACAATCACTGGTTCGAGTTTTATTCAGCGTTTTGACGTGTTTCCCCCCCCCCTGTCATTTGCAAGCACATAATGATAAAAATTGATAGCAGCATTAAACTGTAACCAGTGATTGTCTGTCCATAAAGCTGTGTTCTTGTCCCATTATCAGTTGGCTGTAATTTATCATTGGAACAAATTAGGACAGTTAATCACTTCCGTATTGTAAAAGAACTTTCTCACTGGCAGTTAATGTCATGATATAGTTAACCTGATGATGAGAATATTAATAGAGAACTAGAAGTTGTTATTATCAGTCAAGTTACAATGTGTAATTAATTAAAACTGTTAATTAACTAGATAATAAGATACAGTAGGTATAATCAAGCAAAGTTTTTGGTGTACATTCTATTAATGTGATTCAACACAAAACATGAAAATTACAGTTTATTTTGAGGTAGAATGAATAGTAAAGAAAGAAAGAACAATGATAACAACTAAGGTTCACAGTTATGATTCCTTTCTACCAGCTGTTCTTTGGCCAAACCTCTTGGCATTGATCTTTCCTGGATTATCTGTACCAATTTACAGCTGGGTCAACTGAAATTATGAGTGAAGATGACTTATTCTAGGTCATCGGACTATCACATGCTGATCGAGAATTGAACCCACAGCAACCATTTGCTCGATGTAAGTAAGCAAATGACGTCATGTTAAGAACCAACGCTCTAACCGACGGTGTTATAAAACCTCACAAGAACTCAAAACATAAACACAAACAGTCAATATATATAATTTTTTAAGGAAAATAAATATTAAAGTAAAAACTCAATACAAGTCTGGTTAATATAGCCCTAATTACTGTTTATTCTACCCCAAAACAGGATCTATTTAACAGTTAAATATTTAACATATTTCTAAATGTTCAATGTTATAAGATGAAACAGGATCTATACCATAGGATGTAAAACTCCATTCATTTCATTTGTAAACCACTGTACCTAATTATCACTAATATAGATATTGTTATATGAGATGATAACTATAATAGATAATTGGTATTAACTACCACTATATTATACTCATTATAAATATGATTTATTATTGATCTTCTGCAAATGTCACTTGACTTAAAAGCACCCTGGTTGTGGCTTCTAAAATATCAGAGAGATTCTTTTGACCAATCATACTTTAGTCTTAGAAATAGGAATCCTTAAAGTTGAGTTAATCAGAAGTAGTGTTCACAGCTCATCGTTAAAATTTATTTTATGTGTACAGCATGTAGCTTACAGGCCTGAACAACTAGACACTTTTTCCATACCAGCCCCTACAAAGTAAACAACATCACTGACGAGAAGAATCAGGATTGAAAAGGTATTAGCTAGACATTGTGATATGCACGACATGTTATCGAAAATGTTTTAGAGAATTGTAATAATTGATCAGTTAGAAATGAAGTAGTGTTTATCAGAGAGAGAAATCTCCAGTTATAATCCAGGCTAGAAAACAGAAGTTCAGTTTAAATCTAGAATACTTTGATTACCTTCTGTTGTTTTTAATTCTCCCTGAAACATGGGTGGAGTCAACTGAACTTTTCACTCAGTAATTTAATACCCCTTAATACCCGATACACTCAATAGTATCTGTTTTTATTTACCGTTTCTTATAGTTTATATCAAATAAAGAAAGAAAAGAAGGAAACAACCATTTTTTTCAAGGATAACTAATTAGGTTCATCAGGCCAAATATTCTCGAAATGATCTTAGCGCTAGGATGTCCTAGGGTCTTATCTTCTAACATTGATTCTAGGACATCCTAAGGCTAAGAACGTTTCGAGAATACGTGGCCAGGATCCTTTCTACCAGCTGTTCCTTGGCATTGATCTTTCCCACATTATTTATATACATTTAATGCTCATTGGATTAAAAAAATGATGAAGAAAGATGACTAATTCAAGGTCTTAAGCTAGTTTTTGGCCCAACCTCATGGCATTGATCTTTCCTGGTACTTTCATACCCATTATAATGCTTCGTTTACTGAAATAATATTGAAAAATGACTTATTCAAGGGTTTAAGCTGGTCCTTGGTTAAACCTTGTGACATTGACCTTTTCCAGATTTTCTCTACTCATTTAAAACCAGATGGTTTGGAATCATGTGGACTTGTTCAACGTCACCAGACATTCACATGCCGACTGAATTAAGAATCCACAACCACCATTTGTTTGACATAACCTGGCAAATGACATTAAATTAAAAGAACTTGATAACATCTGAAATACTGGCTGGAATATAGAAAAACTTTGTGTTTAATAGAGAAATCTAACATGATCTGAATTGAGTTGAAAATAGAATAGAAGTATTGTATATATTTGAGGTATAAACAGTTTATTTTATAAAATAATTTACTATATTACCTAGTTATTTGTAATGTATTTATAAGAATCTACTTAGCTCGATGTTTCTAGAAGGGTATTTAAGTTACTGTTTTCGCATGTTTGTCTGTAAATCATATTTTACTGATTATTTTAAGAATATGAATACCATCTTCAAAATAACACAATCAGTCTTTAACTTAATCTACACTTATAACACTTTTAAACTTGCTTTTTAAGAGGACAATAGGCAGTCTATTTTCATTTACATGGATGTAGGAAGACAGTGTCTCATTGATTAACTAAGTAAAGATGCCATCCACAACAGTTATAATTCTAATCACTGTGTGAAAAAACCTCAAAATGAAGCAAGTAATAACTCTGACTTTATGTAAGAAAATAAGAAATTAGACTTCAAACAAGACAAAGAAAACTTGAACCAAATCCACCCTGACTGTTTGTAACACAACTTAGACCAAGAACTTTCTGCTTTAAATTAACTTTAATATTACAGGTTTATTATTATCAATATAAAGTAGATAATCTATAATTCTAATAGTATATAGAATCCAGATATCAGAAGTGTGTTTATATTACCTGTATTCTCCTGTTATTCTACTATAAATCATATCAGTACATTGTGTACATGTTTTAAAGTGCATCTTTATAAACCATTCTGGAAAACTTCACTTATATAGAATAGTTAACATATTTTATAATGCAGTTTTATAAACCAGGTGCCTTATTCTTAAACAACTGAAAGGGATTGTAACAAGTTTCCTAGCCTTTTTGTCCCAAAATTAATAGCCTTTTTTAATGATAAAATGGTTGGTTTTGATTACAGTGAGGTGATCATTTGTTTAATCAAGTATACTGATATAATGGTTACGAATCTGCTTGCGGGGCAACGCCATTTCCGGTTAATCCCTTCTGGAATTGCAGGAACCGCAGGCTTCTGACGAAGAATTTAAATGTCCCAAATAGAAGTCAACGGTGTCCACTTAAAAAGGCGAGAAAACCTGTTTATAATCCCTTTAACTCTAGATAAGAGATATATTATGAAATAATCAAATCTTATTCTCAAAGATGTAAGATAACATCCAGAATATTACAAAAACAGTAATTTAAATAGATAATTAAACTAAATTTAAAATTAATGATTGTTGATTGATAAAAACAGAATCTGATCTATCAGAACATACAAATAATAGTTTATAATCTTACACCATCTAAATAACAAATTCATACTCAGTCCAAATAATAGAATGTAGTATATCAATAAATAATATGTATCTCCGTGGAAAATCCACTAAAAATAAATGATTTATTGCGCAGCTAAAATATATCAATATTGGTTTTTATAAGATGAATTGGTACACTTGTGAACTATGATAAATTTCAGACAAATTTGATAATTGTGTATTTTTTATGAATGGTTGAAAGTGGTTGAAGAAATTGAACTCCTCCAAATCCAAAGTTATCTACTCGAGTTTGTGAAAATATAATAATAATAATAATAATCACTTTATTAGAGTAAGAAATTAGCTTTGTAAGTTAGTAAATCAAAACGTTCATAGCCAAAGCATGATTTATATTTTCAATATTTCTAATTAACCGTGCGTGAACCCTGTTTGTAAAATATTGGATTGTTAAATGATGTTTTAGCTTTGAAGTTTTTAACTTACCTTCGTGAGCATTGTATCACAATAACGGGTTTTAACCCGTATTAAACTAAGCCCACTAAATTTCGTTCGGGCATGGAAATGGGATTGGTGGGATTTAAATCTAATCAGATCATTAGAACAGAAATGAGGTCTTGTAAACAAAACACAAAATCGCTTTGTAGCTGACCGTTTGAAGAGATAAGAGGTTTCTCTCGGATTCAATACTGTAATGAAAATCTTACTCAATTCTGTACAGTATATATTCATCAAAATATGTAATGGCACTCTGCTTTCGTTTTGTTTCGGTTTGCAAGGAAAGTGTCATAACGAGTGATTTGTATTGATTGGCTGAAATTTGCTACCAATACAGTAGGGTCAATTTTGATTGGACAATATTTAGCTATGAAAACGTAATTTTTCTCACTTGTGTTACCAGGACATGAGGACACAATAAGTTATGAAATATATAGACAGAGCTTTATGGACCAACAATCTTTATGGGGTGTGGTTTGGACACGATGGTGTCGTGAGGTAGTAGTTAAATTTGTCAGTACACGCAAGAAAGATAGACAGAAATGAGTATAAAACTCCATATCATTGAGATAATAGAAATGTTCTGTATATTTCCAGCATGCAGCAGAACTAGAGAAGAAACAGAATGAAAGTGAGAATAAAAAATTGATGGGAACAGTTTTACAATATGGTGGAGTGGTACAGGTATTATATTTTCCTTTTTTCGAACTAATTCAATCTGAGAGAAACTGACCTCAAACTTGCTTTGTTATATAACAGTAGAATTTGGAATCAATCCAGATTAGTTGAAGTGGTTAATTAACACCATCATTATTAAAACTTTTAATTAATATTTATAATGATGCATGACAAGAGTTGAGAATAATTAAAACTCTGTTAAATTAACTATACATTGATAATTACCGTCACAGTAATGACCTGTCCACACCAAACAATTTATCCAAGGACTGGTGTCAGACAGGGTATGCTTATTCTTCTAGACACCTGATACCACTTTTCATTATAAAATACTTACTTATTTATAATTGATGGGTGTGGCAACAGGCAGGGTATGCTTATTCTTCTAGACACCTGATACCACTTTTCATT